TGAACTTCAGGGTATCCTTCACATTTCCTGACTTGTGTTTTATTCTTTCTCACCTCTGTTTTAAATTTATGTGACCCAGTTGTTGATCCCTTCTTGTTTTTACCCCTGTGCTTCCATTTACAAAACTCCAGGCTCCTTACCAGCGTATCTGATCATACCAGGCTTTTTTTTTTTTTTTGTAGTTTTATTGAAGATTTGCTGGGTCCTGGGGGGAAGGCCACCCACCATGATACTCAGGAAATTCAGCCTAGCTATCTCCCTTTTCCAAAGACTGTGTGCTGAGCCTGCAGACCCTGACCTCCTCCCTGTCTTCACCACCCTCTCCTCAAGTCCATCGCTTTCAGCACTGCTCCTCCTCCTCCTGACTCCTTTATTGGCAGAATGGCTTTTTCCCTGTGAAATCGGGCTGCCATCCCCATGGACAGACCCTAAGGCTTCCTGTTATCCTGCCGAGGGCTTCACAGTGTCATAAAGCATCTGTCTAACAGGCTCTCTGTTCCTACAAAGAAATTCTCCTGCCGGCATTTTCTCCAGTTGTTACGTTTTTGTAGGGTAAGTCACTTATGCAATGAGTTGAGACCTCTTGGTTAAACCATCCTGGAAGCACAGTATGGCCAAGTACACCGGTGCTGCAGCCAGACAGCCCAAGCTCCGATCCCAGTTTCTCTTTACTAGGGGTATGATCTTGGACAAGTCACTTGTTGTCTCTGGGCTTCAGTTTTCTAATCTGTAAAATGGGATTACTAATAGAGCCCCCATAATAAAGTTGTGGTGAAAATTAAAAGAGTCCATACAGAGGGCTCAGAACGGGGCTTGGCACACAGTAACTGCTCCGTCAGTGCACTGCTATTACTCTGGGTACACGGAGGGTTAGATGAGAAGCAGGCTGGGGTCATGGAAGTGTTCCACTCAGATTGGTCTGTGTTTGTTCCTTGAACATACCATTCACTTTTCCCCCATATATTTTTTTGCTCCTACTGTTCACACAAAGTAAATAATTTTCTGCATGTTCACTTGTCAAATTCCAAAGTGCTTTGTTATTCCTAAACCATTCCTGGTCCAGCCTGTCTGAAATAATCTCGCCCACTGAATAGCTCTCAGCAGATTTTGATTTGTACTGTAGTTACATGTCTCATCTCTCCTTCTAAAGTAAGCTCCTTGAAGCCAGGTACCATTTTTTTCCTTCATAAAAGCCTGTCAAAGATAGAGGTAAATGTCCATGTCATTGAACCTTTTCCATTTTTTAATTCTAGATGGTGACTGCAGTAAACCTGAGGGGAAAAAGACCAGCCAGGCAGCCAACGGGATGGCCTGTGGACTGCACTGGTCATTGGCAGGGGCTGCCTTTGGAAGTCTTATGTTCCTCACCCACTGGATTTTTGGAGAGGTCTCTCTTGTTTCCAGATGGGCAGTGAGCGGGCATCCCCATCCAGGGCCAGATCCTAACCCATTTGGGTGAGTTTTGGTTTGGAAGCAGTGAAGAAATTGGCTGTTACGGTTGAAGGGAGAAATACCTCACTTGTTGAACAGCTAGACCTGTGCCAGCGAGATATTGCCTATTGTACTTACCCTAGATATCAGAAATGTTGCATAAAATAGTTGTGGACTCCGGAGATGAGGAGCCAGAAGAGTACTTGCCCCAGTGCTGAAGGGTTACTGCAGAGGAGATAAGGGTGGCCTGAGGACTGCACAGCTTAGTAAGAGGTTCGGGGACCTCCTGCAGGGGGTGCTCTGAGACTGAGGAATCTCCACATACAAGACCATGCTCGGTGGCAGGGAAGGTGTGGCATCCCCTGGCCATTTTCTCCAGAGCCCCACTTCCCCCACCCCGTTACAGTTATGGGCATTTGGTAGGATGAGACCAGAGTTGATGAGAGACCGGGTTGGCAGCTTGGGCATAGAGCTCAGTTCTCTGCCCATGAGGGAAGTCCGGGGTGATCTCTGCATCCCCTGGGACTTTGGGACCTGCTCCAGCCATGGGGCACCCAAGGCGTTAGCAGTCTTGAGTTCAAGTGTTGGTCTGTGTGCTTGATCCTCATTAACCCTCTCTCTACTCTTCCTGACACCTCTTTTCTTCCATGGCCAGGTCCAATCTTTCATGTTAAACGATTGGAGGAAGCCTTAAAACATCTGCCTCAGTGCTGAAATTCCCACATTTGGAGACATGCAACTGCCTGCTGGATCCTCCCCCAGCAGATATCTTAGCCTGTCCCACAGGGGTCTCAAACTCAGCATGTCCACGTCTGGACTCAGTAGTCCCCAGTCCCCAAACATGTTCTTTTTCCTCCATGCCTTGGTGCTCTGCCTCTCCACCCCACCATCCAAGCCAGAAACCAGGAGTCATCTTAGAATTCTGTCTTCCTCATTTTTTGCATTGAATTAGGCATTAAGTCCAGGTGATTCTACTACTTCTCTTAAAGAGCCTGTCCCTTCCTCCCTGTCTCTAACCACATCTGTTTCACCCAGGCTGTTGCTATTGTCCCCTAGTGGTCTCTCTTCAGCGTGGCCTTCTCCACATTGCCCTGGAGTGAGCTCTCTAAAATGCAGACCTGACTCCATTACTCCCTTGCTTAAAACTTTTCAGTGTTTTTTTTTTTTTTNTGCAAGTTACATTTTCTCATCATGCTCCCTGGTTGGCTTTTACAGGAGTGATCTCATCACTGACACTTTTTTGTTGCCTTTGCTCAATGCTGCCTTACCTACAAAGCCACTGTCTGAGCAGTTACTGGGACAGTTATTTTATTATTTAAATCTAGTACTAACCCAGGAACTCCTGCTGGCGATAAGAGATATTAAATAAGTTTGAGATTGGTACAGTAGTTGGGATGCTTCCCTTCTACCTCCTTCCTCCGTGAAACTCATCTCACCACTTTGGATAGAGGCAGAATTATACTGAGCGAGTGGCGGAGTGATTCAGAGTTTAGAATGAAGAGGCCAGTTTCTGCTAGATACTCTTCCAGGTAATCATCGAAGCTTTGCTGATGCTAAACAGAGGCTGAAGTCAGCCATGATTTGTCTTAAACTTCTCTTCAGATACTTCTTAAGGAAATGAAACAACTTTGTTTTTAGAGAGTCCTAAGGTATTCTTACATAACTACAGAGAAGAGCTGAGTGTTATGTGCTATCTTACCTCTGGCATCTCAGACATTTTAGGTTAATTACTCTGTAGTTAACTATTGAACTAGTTCATACTCCTATTGACGGGCTATTTTTGATGTTAAAGACTAGAATGGGTATAATAAAAAAGATAGAAAATATCAAGTATTAGCAAGGTTGAGGAGAAATTGGAACCCTGACACATTACTGATAAGAATGTTAAATAGTGCAGCTGCTTTGGAAAACAGTTTGGCAGTTCATGAAAATGTTAAACAGAGTTATTATATGACTCAACAACTCCACTCCTTGGTATATACCCAAGAAAAATGAAAACATATGTTCACACAAGACCTTGTACACAAATGGTCACAGCAGCATTATTCAAAATTGCCAAGAAGTGGAAACAACCGAAATGCCTATCGACTGATGAATAGATAAACAAAATTCAGTATATCCATGCAATGGAGTATTATTCAGCCATAGAAAGGAATGACATACTGATACATGCTATGGTATGGATGAACTTTGAAAATGTTATATTAAGCGAAAGTAGACAGCCACAGAAGGCTACATGTTGTATGATTCCATTTATATGTAATGCCCAGAATAGGAAAAATTCATACAGACAGGAAATACATGAGTGATTGCTAGGGGCTGGGATGAGGTGGAGGAAAAGAGAGAGATTGATAACAGGCATGGGCCTCTTCTAGGGGTGATGAAAATATTCTGGAATTAGATAGTGGTAATAGTAACACAACTTTGTGCATATGTTAAAAATCATGGAAGCGTACACTTTAACATGGTGAATTTTATGGTATGAATGATATCTCAATAAAAATGTTTAAAAAGATTTATGTACACATACAATTATATATTAACTCTATCTCCCTGAGTATAAAGATGGTATCAGACACAGGAGTTGGCAAATGGAGACCATTGAATACCAGTGCATGTTTGCCAGATATATTTAGCTCTCCTTAATTTGTTTGTAGGCAGCGTAGCCTCCTTCCAGGCTCCAAATGCCAAACTTCGGCTGGTGGTCCTCGCGCTTGGTGTGTCTTCATCGCTGATAGTGCAAGCTGTGACATGGTGGACAGGAAGTGGTTTGCAAAGGTATGGTTCGTATCTTGTGCACATGGAGGCAAATAAGTGTGGTGATCAGTTACCAAAGCGGAAGCTGGGATCAACAGTTCCAGGTTACAGTATTTACCAGCCACCTGGCTGAATAGAAGTCTTCTTTCTTTCCCCTTTTCACAAAGTTGGGACTGAATACTAGCCATCAGTCTTAATAATGTTTTGAGAATGAAGGAATTTTAATAAGTTGCTTAGGTAATGGGCTATATAAAGGCTAAGTCATGTATATTACTGCAAATGACCAATTAGACTATGTCATATTCTCATCCTATAAAACTATGAAATTCATGATGCACATCGTTCATTGAAAGCACATTAAAAGTCTTTAAAAATACTTTTGCACTTCCAGGTACCTCAGAACCTGGGGATTCCTCTTAGGGCAGATTCTTCTTGTTGTTCTCCGCATATGGTATACTTCACTAAACCCGATCTGGAGTTGCCAGATGTCCAACAGAATGATACTGACATTAAGTACCATTGCCACCCTTGATCGCATTTCCACAGGTAAGGGTGTGCCCTTTTTATGTAGACATATTTTCTCTCTTGCATAGTTAACCTTTCTTATCTGGATGTAACACATCTTGGAGAGGTAAAAATAGTCCTTCTGCACGATTTCTCTGTTTCACCTTTTCCTCCCTCTGAAATAGTAACTGGTGTATTATCTAAGCAGAAGGCGCCTTTTCCTTGCTAGTAAAGAGGGTGAAGATAAAAAGTGGTCTGTGGCTTGTGTCGCTGTGGACTGGGAGAGCAGACCCGGCCTCGTGCTGCCAGCAGGCCTTCAGCTCTTTCTCCGTTTCCTCTCTGGACAGGGCTTTCCAGGATGGGATTCTTCACCCCTCATCCTCCGTACTGACCTCAGGATACCTCTCATACTGTAGAAAGTTGTGAACTAGGGCTGTGGGAACTACCTGGGCTTGTTTATTTTTTTTTCCCAGGAGTCTGAAGATAAACTCCAAATCTTGAAACTTGAAAAGAAAGGAAATCTTGCACATTCATTCACACCACCATTCAAATCACCTGTCTCCCTCTGGAGCAGACTCTCCTAGATGTTCACATGCCCAGTTAGATGTTTGCTTCACGTGCTAACTGGAGGTCCTCCTGAGGAGAAGGGAGAAGTGTGACTGGATTGTAATTAATTTGCTCCTGGCTTTCCATGTTACAGTGAGTCACTGTTCTTTGTGAATACAAGGAGAAATCTCACAGATTCATGGAACTTTAGAGAGTTTTGGCACACCATGAACAAAATGCTTGTAGAATCCCCTTTTGGCCCCAATTTTGGCATGAGCTGAGGGTAGTAAGAAAGGGGGAACATCATGCAAGTAAATTGGTCAAATGGCGTTACTATTAATCAGAACATTTAGATCTTGGTCTCGTACCCTAATATAT